GGGGAGAAAATAGGACTCTGCAAGAAAAGTCTCAAGGGGATTCAAGCAGGGCAGCAGCGGTGTAGCGTAGGATGTCAGAGGGTCTGGATGCAACCTGCTGGGGGACGCCGATGCCAAGGACTTTAAAGTGGGTTGCTGGGCTGCAATTTGACTGCACAGAGCTCAGCAGCGAGAGCTGGCAGATTGTGTCTACACAGCAGGACAGGACACAGGCAGAGATGTATGAATAAGACTGGAGCTTGGCGTATCAGAGGGAGAGCAGCAGAAAGGGATGGGGAGCAGAAGATGCTGGGGTGCCCCAGGGCCATGCCCATGAGGAAAAGCACTGCCAGCGAGAACTGTCCTGGGGGTAAAACAGCAAGGGTCCCCTGGGGGCAGACATCAGCAGCTGGCAGCAATCAAGGGGTGTGGAGAGAAGAGGAGGGAGCAGAGACTAAGGGAAGGGGAGGGGGAGAATGCTGTGGGGCTCTGTGAGGGGAGAAGCAGGGCTGGGCACTTTGGGGGGTAGGGTGCACAGGTGTGGGGCTGCGGGTGGCGTGGAGGAGGGACGGTGTGAGCAAGGACTGTAGGAGAAAGGGGAGCTCTAGGGGACCTGGGGCCAAAGCAGAGATGAAGGAAGAGGGGCAGCTGTGAGGGGGCTGGGGATCAGAGCAGAGGAAGGAGGGATCTGTGGAGGGGGCTGGGGGAGGAGCAGAGCATGGGGGGAGAGGAGCACGAGGGGCTGGGGCCTCTCGGCTGCAGTGGAAAAGCTGCTGCAGCTCCAGGGGAAATGCTACTTGAATTAATCATGGCGCTGGCTGCTGTGCCAAGCCCAGGAGGAGGCTGCTGGCAGCACAAGGAAATAACTTTCACAGGAATTTGGAACAAATGCAGCTCTTCTGGCGGTAACAACAGCGCTCACCTCCCCCAAAACCTCCCTGAGTACCAGCATCTCCCCCATGTCCCATGTCCCTTTGCACCCCAGATTCATCCACACGATGGTCCCTTTCTCAGAAGCATGATGCACTCCCTCCCCTCACGCTGATCCCCAGTTAGCTCACAGACATCTCCTCATTTTGTCTCTGAAAGCTCGTCTTCCTATTTCAGAAGAGGAGAAGGCCTGTTCTGTGCTGTGCAAAAACCTGAAAATAGGTTAATGCTAAAGCTCTTGTCCCAAGAAACCGAATGCACACAGCAGCATCCTCCCGCTCTCCTTGGCAGCAAAGTCAGTGATCATCAGTCCTCCTGCTGTTCTGGTCCCCGTCTGTGGCTGCTCCCTGTGTTCCCTCACAAATATTCCCCTTCGGGGCCATAATGATGCACCAGGATTATCCCTCAAGACTCCGTGTTACTGTAGCCTGCTTTAGCCTAGAGCACTTCATGCAGGCGCCATATAGTGCACAGCCCCAGAGGCTGCCCAAGTGCTGTTCATGCAGCACAGCCCCTCACAGAACCACAGAATTGCACTCGGGCTTCAAAGCTCATCAGACTTGTCCTCAAAACTGTAAGACAAGGATACACACTGTGCATGGGGTTGGTCAGCTTCTGATTGCTGATGTTCTTCCCTAACACCTAACAATGGTGTGTAGGGGTGCAAGTGAAACACACAAAGCCTGGTTCCAAAATCATTGATACTGGATCTATACAGGAGTCCATAATCAACCATCTCATCTCATTCACATTTCAGTCAAATCAACCACTGCTCACAATATGGGGTTTACACAACTCTCTGCTTTATGCAGACTGCCAGAGGACAGACAATACTTGATTCAGCTTAAAAAGTTAGAAAGGCCCAGAAAGAAAATATCTGACCATGCATGCAGCTTGGTACAGCGTCAATCCAACGGAACGTTTGAAACAAATGTAAGCCAGCAGAGTGAATTTATAACAGAACAAAGTTCCACATCATGTAAACACAGCATTTGAATGTGAGCTGATGAGCCTTAAAGTATCCATGCCAACCTCATGAAGTTCAACAGGACCAAGTGCAAGGTCCTGCACCTGGCTCAGAGAAATCTCAAGCACAGATGCAGAACGGATGGAGAACGGCTTGAGAGCAGCCCTGAGGAGAAGGCTTTGGGGATGTCAGCTGATGAAAGACTCAACACGGGTTGGCAATGTGTGCTTGCAGCCCAGAAGGCCAATGGCATCCTGAGTTGCACTGAGAGAAGTGTGGCCAGCAGGGCGAGGGAAGTGATTCTATATCCAGCTGTGGAGCCCCCAGCACAGGAGGGACATGGAGCTGTTGGAGCGGGTCCAGAGGAGGGCCGTGAAGATGATCAGGGGGCTGGAGCAGCTCCCCTATGGGGACAGGCTGAGAGAGCTGGGGATCTTCAGCCTGGAAAAGAGAAGGCTGCGAGGAGCCCTTATGGTGAGTGGCCTTCCAGTACCTGAAGGGGCCTCCAGGAAAGCTGGGGAGGGAGCTTTTATAAGGGCGTGTAGTGACAGGACGAGGGGAAATGGTTTTAAACTGGAAGAGGGCAGATTGAGACTAGATATTATGTCTTCCTGTGAAGGTGGTGAGACACTGGCACAGGTTGCCCAGCCAGGCTGTGGATGCCCCCTGCCTGGATGCCCTCAAGGCCAGGCTGGATGGGGCTGTGAGCAACCTGGGCTATGGGAGGTGTCCCTGCCTGCAGGAGGGGGTTGGAACCGGATGACCTTAAGGGTCCCTTCCAGCCCAAACCATTCTATGATTCTATGATATGTATTACCAGCTCATGTCTACACAGTGAAGCAGAGACAACTGACTAGTGTCTGCCCCCTGCTCTATTGTTTGATGGTCTTGTGTTCATTGGTTACTTAGGCTCCTTCTGTGCTTGTGTTTTTCTCTCATCTCAGATTTGAACCGTGGTTTGCTATTTCCTTTGCTTAGGCACACGCAGGGTCAGTTACTGTAGGCCTCGACCCATGATAAACATAAGTAATAAATAAATATGTTGAGGTTTCTTTACTATGAGATGCTGGAACAGCTGCCCAGGGAGGCTGTGGATGCCCCATCCCTGGAGATGTTCAAGGCCAGGTTGGATGGGGCCCTGGGCAGCCTGGTCTAGTATTAAACGTGGAGGTTGGTGGCCCTGCATCTGGTGGGGGGTTGGAGATTCAATGATCCTTAAGGTCCCTTTCAACCTTGGCCATTCTGTGTGATTCTGTGTGATTCTTTCTCTTTCTCAGGTGCTCAGGTTTGCTCTGCTCAGCCCTGTTTGTACATCAAACACAAAGAACACCGTGGTGGGGAGAATGGGATGTTGCTGGGATGCAGGAGACCTGCAGTGGTGCCATGGTCAGTTACGTGGTGTCCCCACCTCCCTATCGTTCTGTCCTGCCCACACAGAGCAGATGTCAATATCCAAAAATGGAACTGGTCCTCCCATGGTTTCTGGCTTAGAAACTTGATGGTATGATGGACACCAAAACCCTTTCTGTTCTGGGTCAGCCTTAGCAGCTGCTTTTTTCCTGCAGGACGTGTCAGCAAGGCCTGGGCTCTCATCAGCATTATGCAGGTCTGGACCCTCAGACCAGATGAGCCCTGATGCCTGGAAGTCACAGAGAGATGAAGTCAAGCAGGGGGAAGAGAGGGTCTGTGGGGCTGCACACCTGACTGTGACCTATGAAATGTGGCACCAGCTGCTGGCTGCTGTGCACCCCAAAGAGCCCATGGAAGCCCTCCAGTTCCTGGCAGGGGTGGCTGGACTGGGCAGCTCAGGCCGCGGCTCCTTGGCCCCCAGCTCTGCCAGCTCCTCAGCCTGGCCTGAGCCTGCTGGGGCCTGGTGCTGAGTCGGCAGCCTGGCCGGCCTCCTTTCCCATCCTCTCACATTTCCCGGCCCAGAGGAAGCAGCAGCAGATGTGTGCGCTGTTTGCTTTATGCCGAGGCCACGAGGGAGGTACCTGCGCTCGGCCCAGATGCACCGTTTCCAAATGAAACATGAGGGCCAAGCCAAGACCATCGAAACCTGTCCAACCCCCCAGTCCCTGCCGGCTGCTGGACGGGTGCCTCCCTGCGCTGTGCTGTGCAGGCCAGGATGGCTTCACTGCCGCACGGCGTCTCAGCACGGCGCAGCCCTGTGGCCCTACCAGCATCTTCATGGCATCCCCACAGTCTCACGTCTTCCCACCTCCCTCCTGCCTGTCCTTGCACTTGCAGCCAGAAAGCCAGCCTTCAGTGCCGGCGATATTTCCAGAACGCCTTCCTGCCTTTGCAGTAAGCAGCACTGAGCAGGATGGCACTGAGAACGAGAGGGGCCTCTGCCGGAGCCACCGCAGCTGAGTTGTCCCTGCAAGCACCTGAGGCCTCCGTGTCCCCCAGGGCAACAGCGCTCCTGCCCTGTCCCGGAGCCCATTGCCATCCTCAGCCTCCTCCTGACCTCCGTCCCAGCATGGCTCTGGCCCCACCTGTCCCACAGGGACAGACCTTGTGCTGCCCTGACGGAGCCTGCAGGGTCATGCTGATGGAATAGACGGCACAGCTGAGCCCCCATGAGAGCTAACAGAGGGGCAGCAACCCCCCCAGGACTCACTACACAGAGACTGATGTAGCACGTGCCTCTCAGCTCAAATCCCAAAGATGCTGCTTCTGAAGTAATATAACAGCAGCAGTCACGTATAACTAATGCTGCTGTCCATCACCAGAGGGAGAGAGAAGTTACCAGTCCTGCCACAAGCAGTTTCGAGGCCTGACCTTGCCCCTCAGCACTGTTGCTGGTACTCCAGGCTGACAAGGACAGCTCTGCACTTGTGCAAGCAATGCCTGGCAGAGCAGATCACCACGTGAGCTGAGCTCAACGCAGCGCTTTGCACAAAGGGACTCCTTGAGATCTGCCTCTGGCATCAAAGGCACCCCCCAGCATGCAGATGTGTAACAGTGCTCTGCCAGCTTCCTGCTCACGGCGAGGGAACAGCTCTCTGCCTGTCGAAGCCATGAAATCTGCGCAAACATCCTTCAGCAGCACATCTCTCATCTCCAACCTCTCACAGCCCTGTCTGTGCCCTCCTCAAGCTCAGCTCCTGACAGCTGTACCTACCTGTAGGAAGCAGGTACCGACCGGGGTGTTCTCCTTCAGGGACACGTTGTAGAAATTACTCCTGAACACCGGCTCGTTGTCATTGACGTCCTGCAGGGCCACAAGCACCACAGCTGAAGAAGAGAGGGCAGGGGTTCCCCTGTCTGTGGCCAGCACTGTCAGCTGAGGCTGAGGATCCTTCTCGTAATCCAGTGGGGCAGCAGTGGTGATGATACCCGTGGCAGGGTCAATGGCAAACCAGCTGGAATGGGTGTCTTGGCTGTGCACGATGCTGTACTGCACCTCCCCATTGGGACCCTGGTCTTTGTCTCGAGCGGTCACTTGCAGGACAAAGCTGCCTGGGTACACAACCTCAGGGATGCTCTGTTTGTACTCCTGCTGGTCAAAGAGTGGAGGGTTGTCATTGATGTCTATCACCTGCAGCACAAAGGTTGATTCTGCTCGGAGCGGAGGTGTTCCCGAATCAGTCGCTGTCACTCGCAAATCATAGGAGTCTCTTTCCTCCCGATCCAGAAGCTGGTCCACGCAGATAAGGTAGATGATGTTGTCCTTTGTAGTGAGGGCAAACTTGCCATCCCCCCCCTCCAGGGTGACATTGACATTGGAGTACTCTCCATAATCTGGGTCAGAAACAGAGATGCGTGCCACATACTGACCGGGCTGGGCTCCCTCAGAGATCTGAGGGGAGCCATCTTCGCTCAGAAAGATGATGGTCATGGTGGGCTGGTTGTCATTGTAGTCGCGCACGTGGATAGTGACAAAGGCTGTGGTGACCTCAGGGTGGACAGCCCTGTCCCGTGCCTGCACCACCAGCTCGTGCACCTTCCTGACTTCGTAGTCCAGACCCTTGTTGAGTTTGATGACTCCAGTTCGGGAGTCGATGGTGAAGTACTGGTCAGGATCACTCTGTCGCCGGTTGATCTCATAAATCACATCACCGTTGTCTCCTTCATCCGCGTCGGACGCGAAGACCTGCAGGATGCTACTGCCAGGTTTCAAATTCTCTGATATGAGAGTATGATAGCGGCTCTGGTTGAAGGTGGGAGCGTTGTCATTGATGTCCTGGACGGACACGTCCAACGTCATTTGGCTGCTCCTGGGAGGAGAGCCCCCATCGTAGGCTTCCAGCACCAGGGAGTACGACGAACGGTTCTCCCGATCCAAGACGTTGCTGACCACCAGGTCTAAATACAGGACCCCATTGGGTCCTCGCCGTGTTTCCAGACGGAAGGCCTGCCCCACATTGTCACCCTTAATCACGTAGCCTTGGGTATTGAGCAGGCCACTGTCAGCATCAAAGGCTGGGTCCAAGGGAAATCTGCTGCCAACAGGTGTGTGCTCTGGGATCTGGAAAGTGCTGTGTTGCTTGGGAAAGGCTGGAGCGTGGTCGTTGATGTCATTAACTTGGATATTCACTTCTACTGTGATGCCCTCGGGGGTAACAGCTATGAAGCTGTAATGGTCCCTGGTCTCTCGGTCAAGGACGCGGGCTGTTTTGATGATGCCCCTGTTCTCATCTATCCACAAGTCAGTGGCAACGCCACTGCCCTCCTGCGCTGATATGAAATACATGTAGGCACTGGTGCCAGGGGGCAGGCCAGCACTGATGTCCCCAATGATGGTGCCTGCTGGCTGCTCCTCATCTATTTGTAGATCCAGGGTGCCCAGGACAGCAGAGCCCTTCTCTGCTCTCAGGCCCCCAAGGATTAGCAGCTCCAACAGAAGCATGGCCGACCCTTTCATCTGCTCCATTGCTAGTAACTTGCAGAGCAGAAGGTTGCTTGATCTTCTTTGCAGCACTCTTTAATCCTGCAAGGAATGCAAACCAGAGGAAGCTGGTTAAGAGAGAGCAGCAAACGAAGGACAGAATAAGAACGTGGGGAGGGAGAGCCTGCCAGGTACCTTCCGCTTGGTTGCTCTGTATCACTTATCCCTCATGAGTCGAAAACTTGTTAGAGCAAAGGGTGTGAAGGAAAGGGAATGAAGCCCCAGGCCAGCACCTAACGTCACCGAGCAGAGCAGACCTGGCCATGTGCTGGTGTTACCAGCTGGTACTCTGTCACATCGCTTTTTTTCCCACACAGCCAAGTATCCTTCCCAACTAGCAGCCTTCCTGGCAGCACCGGAGCCAGCTGGTTCCTGTGCCTTTAACAGCTGAATGCTTCCTGCAAAGCTGAGAAACAGTGTCTGCAAGACCTCAGAGATTTTTGGACAAGCAGCAGCCTAGCACCTCTCTATCCTGAAAAATATGGTCTTAAAACTGGGAGCGATCCCAACAAGTGACCCTGCCGAACCCCCCTTCCCCAGTAGCTTGCTTTTCATGACCACAGGGATTTAGGTTCAAAAAAAATGCAAAGTGCAAATCGGGTGTCCCTGGTGGGGTGCAGCAGAACTGGAATGGGCTTACATCCAGAGCACAATAAATCAGAATGGCTCCATTGCAAAGGACAGACCCACAGCCGGGAATGCCCAAGACAAAACCCCGTCCTCCCAGGGCAGACAGGGCCCATTGTTCAACCAGGAAAGGAGATCTGGGGATGCCCCAAGCTGGTACCATGGAGGGTGGTGGTGGCACAGCAGGAACGCAGCAACTCCCTCTGAACTGCCGGCTGCCCTGGCTCCTTCCCCGTCCCACTCTCCACTGCTCGCTCTCCTCCTTTGTCTCCTTCTCGCTGCTCCTCGTTCGTTCTGGCTCCTTCACTCCATTTCCCCCTGCTGTAGCTTCATTTCACTGCAGCAGTGGGGGAGGGACAAGAAGGGAGGAGCGGCTCCCTGCAGCCGCAGCGCTGCTGGACACGCTGGCCGTACGTGCGGCACCCAAAGGCTGTGAGCCCCCCAGGGCTCTGCCCACCCTCCCTGCAAGCAGCCAGAGCAACTCAGCAGTCGAAGTGCTCGTGCACAACACCAGCCCCAGTGCCGCTCCGAGCCGCCGGTAAACGAGGCTCAGTGGTCTGCAGGGATGGCGGCAGCATGAGCTCACACTTGGACTCTCTTGAAAGCATTTGCTGCTGGTCCCATAACCACGCTCAGGAGCAGCTCATGGCAGACGCAGGACGGCAGAACCTCCCTGTCTTGTGGGGGCAGAGGTGGCTCGTGCTGCCTGGTTTGGGGACTACAAATGGCAACCTTTGGTCTGCAGAGCTCTACAGCAGCGCCAGCCCTTTCTGAGAGATGTGGTACCACTATTTGTTGGCCCTCTTTCCCACCTCAGGACAACTGTTAGGTTGATTTTTCTTGCAGCAATTGTGGGTTGGTGACAGAAATAAAAGTGTTTCCTACATATAAAGGAATGTTTACCTCAGTGGGCTACAGGAACTAGAAACCCGTGCACACCCCCAGTGCCTGATGCCTGTGCAAGCAGTGCCACACGCTGCTCTTGCACCTAGCAAACACGAATCCTCATCATCTCTCAGGAACAGAAGGTCAAAGAAGTTACACGTTCTTGAGGACTGCTGGATGCTGAGCTGCACCAGTTCAGTGGTCCTAGCCAAGTCCATTGCTCTTCCTCTTGGGAGTCAATGAAACTTCCCCAGAACAATTACGTGCATCTAGAATTGGGAGAACGGGATCCAAATTTGCTTCTGTGATGCAACTGCATCATCCTAACTGTAACTTGGACACTTGGGTCGTGGGAAGGTACAGGGCAGAGTTCAAAGCCCTGGCAGGTGGGTAAATGAAAACTCAAGTAAAAGGAGAGTAGAAAAAATAGAGTAACAAAAAGAGGGATGCAGCGAGGGGATCTCAGTGGCTGAGGATGGGATAAAGCTGAAACGTCTTGAGTAGCACCTGGCACAGGTAAGGGCACAGATATGGGGAAAAGAACCTGCCCTGGTTTGATTACTGATGTCACTCTTGGAAAGCAGAAGGGAGAGCAGCAAGGCTTTGTGGACTGCTGCTGTGGGGATGGGGAAACTGGGAACGTGAATGGGGGTGTGAAGAGCAGCTGGGAGCGCTGGGGCAACGCAGTAACACAAAGTCAGGTTTCTGGGGTGATGAAATGAGTGCAAATTTCTCCCTTTCCCTCCTTCCTGGATGCAGTCAGAGCTTTGCTGCCTCCTGGGAAAGAGACGCGACTGCCTGCTTGCCAGACTGCACAGGTCCAGGATGGGCAGAAGGCCCCCGGGGTACCGGCAGCCCTTTACTCCTCTGGGACTTGCAGGGTTGGGACAGCAAGGAAGACAGCGGCAACCTCAGTTGATGCAGAGTCACCAAATCGAACAGCTGCTTCCAATTAGCAGATAGCTCAGTGCGAGGGGCTGGCTTGAGTGGTCCAGGCCCAGCCTGTGTAATGTGAGCCGGACTGCCCTGCTCCCCTCCCGTCCCTCCCACTACCGGGCACTGAGTTTCCTAGTAACAAATGGCAGCGAGAGCCTCTAAAGGAACGGTGGTATCACAGTCTGTCCGGAGAGGAGGCTGGGGTGCAGAGCCACAGTAAGGGGGTCGACAGGAAGGGTGCTGCAATGCACAGAGGCGTTTCCAGGCCTGGCTGATATGCCCAGGCATCAGGGGAGCCGAGACTACACTTAGGAGATGAGCCTTGTTTAGAAAAATGCATAAGAAACTACAGAAGGACCAAAGCAGAATCCCCTGCTTGCAAGCCTGCCAGTGGCACTGCTTCTCATGTCGGCCACGGAGAAGGGAAAGCAGGCCCACCCCGGCACTGGCAGAGAAGCTGGAAAGACGGCACCCACTCTGCGTGCCACAAACAGATGTCAGAGTGCTTGCTGTGCAAAAGCTCCACCAAAGCTCAAAGCTGCACACGCTGCTGATGCCATACCCAAAACTTCACGAGGGGCCATGATTCATCCAGTGATGTTTTCAAGACTCCACATCAGGAGGGATGTAGAATCCCATTTCATCTTTGCTGGGCACCACTCACTGTGCTGGAATATGCTCTCCTGTTCTACATCCATGCAGGTCTCTCTCAAGACTTCCAGATCTTCCCAAAGCCAAGCACGGTCCAGCCTTGCCTGCAGTGCAGCCCTAGTCTGAAAACTTTCAACCTCTGCTGTCCATTATGACCTGAGCCACCTCCATGCCTCCCAGCCCCATCTCCTTACACCTGCATCTGCAACACCAGCATCTCTATTGCTCACTCCCACAGTTGCCACACAGCCTAATCTCCTTCTAACATCAAAACAAGCAGTGACCAGCAGTGGTAGCCATTCTCTAAGGATGCAGTCAAGCTCCACTTCATCCCCATGGATTCAATTCCTGTGCCACACGAGGGCTTCCTTCAGGCTATCCTGTCTCTGAAAACATTATTCCTACAAAGGAAGCTCTAATAAAAGCTCCTCACGCAAAAGCCAGTTCCCACAGTCCCGGCCCACAAGCCATCAGCACTGGCTGTGCCCTGCCACACTGCGTGCCCACTGCGCAGCCGTCCCGGGGTGTCGAGGCTCTCTGGCCGTCGGGCTGCCCGGCCCCCGGCGCTCCCCGGCTGTCCCTGGGGCTCTCCATCTCTCGGGGCTCCCGGCCGTCTCCCCCTGCGGCTGCTGGGGCTCCCTGCCTTTCGGGGCTGCCCAGACACGAGGCGTCCCTTCCTCCCGGCGCTCCCGGTGCCCGCGCACACCGCCGTTCCGGGGCTCTCCCCGGCTCTCCCCCCGCACGCCGCAGCCTCCGTTCCAGCACACCGCCCGCCCCAGCCCCCGCTCCGCTCGGGCCCGCAGCCCCCGCCCGGCGCCTCCGCGGCTCCTCCGCCGCGACCGCCGAACGCCCGCCCAGCGCCGGCTCAGCCCTGCGGCTCCCCGTCCCGGCGCCGCTCCCGTTCCCGCACCGTCCCGCTCCCAGCGCCGGCCTCAGTGCCGTCGCGCAGCGGGCGAGGCTGATCGGCCGATCCAGCCGCGGATCCGCGGTGCTGCGCCGCCGCGGGCGCACCCCCCCGCCCCCCCCCCCCCCCCCCATTGTCTGCGCGGCGGAGGCAGAACAAAGCGCCCGGTCCAGTCCGGCCCGGCCCGGCGTGCGCTGATGCGGATGTGCGGCACAGCGGTTGAAGGCGGGGAGGCGGCGGGAGCGGATCGGTCCGGCGCTGGCACTTACAGCTCGCGTCCCGCGCCGGCAGAGCTCGCATCCCGCACGATCCGGTCCCGGCGAGACGTCCCGCAGCAGAGCGGGTACCCCGGCACCCCAGTACCCGGCGCTCTGGTGCCGACACCGCTCCGGTACCGCCGGCCGCTCCGGTACCTTCAGTGTGTTCCGGTGCCCTCCGGCGCCGTGCCCCCACCCCGTCCTCCCGGAGCTCGGCCTCCCGGTGCCGCGGCCGCCCCGGTGCCGCAGCCGCCCCGCGCAGAGCTCGGCTGCAGGCGGCGGATCGGCGCTGGCTCGGCGCGGAGGCTCCTGCTGAAACCCGACCCAGCGCCGCCCTCAGCCCCTCTCTCCCCCCGCCGCCCCCATCCCCGCCCCGCCACCGGAGCGCGCCGGCAGAGCGCGGCCCCGGGCCGGGGTCCGCGGAGGTGGGTCGACGTGGTGGGACGCGGGATGCGGGACACGGGGCGCGAAGGGGCCGGGGAGCAGCGGCGAGGAGGGGGCCTGAGCGGAGCGGGGGGAAAGGCTGCAGCTGGGAGGGATAAGGGGGAACGGGTAGGAAGCAATAGGAGCCAGAAACCTGGGGAAGTGAGAAGAGGTGGGAAAGAGCGAGGGGCGAGGACGGGGGTGGGAAGGGACGGGGCAAGGAGAGGGCTGGGCAAAAAGAGGTGGAAGGACACGGAGGGTGGTACTGGGGGGATGTGGGGACGCGATCACAGCGGCACAGCCCGTTTTCTAGTCTACCACAGTTCCTTCTTTAAAAGCAAGCGCAGTTTGGGGTGTTGGAGCTTCATGATCGCTGAGGTCTCTTCCAACCCAAGACATTCTATGATTCTATGATGCTATGCTTCTGTAACCTGAAAACCTCGTGTTGAGGCTCCTAATGCCTGGGAAGGACAACAATCATCTGCAGCGCCTGCCATTCAAGTTACTGGAGCCCCATCAGCCTATACTAAGAATAAATACAGAACAAGAGTGGGTGATGGTCCACGCTGCTCCCTTGGCTTAAAGGGGCCACCTCGACTAGTTTTCTCTGCTCCAGACTGGCCAGGTCACAGCAGTGTTGGTGTATTGACCTGGAGAAAGAAATAAAGAAGATGATGCTTCACATGGGGGCCCAAGGACCTGGGGAACTCTTTGCCATTGGACGTTATGGATGCTCAAAATTTGCACTGGCTCAAGGGCTGTCTGGATTAGTTCACAGAAGAGAAATTCTTTGAGGGCTCCTGAACGGAAGAAGCTGCCTCCAGGTCATGAGCTCTGAGTTACAACGAATTGGGGCAGAGTGCAGTGAAGTGAAACATAGCACACGTTTCTCCTATTCTTCCACACCTTCTGTGCAACTCTTTGTAGCTACCCTTGGAGGCTGCTCTGGGGCTAGGAGTCTTGGGCTGACTCCCAGTGAGGCAGTCATTGCTGTCCTTCAGCTGTTCCAAGTGTAACAGTGACATTTCAGCCTTTTTGTGTGTTTATTTCTCTTTATTTTTGTCTACCGCTTGCTTTTTTTCTGCTTTTTTTTCTTTTCCTAAGTTAATCACACACATAGGGCTGCCGGTCCTTTTAGTAGCTTGTTGATGTTATTGCAAAGCTGCTGTCTATTACATGTGAAAAAAGTGGTTTTGGAGATATCCGTGGTGACTGGAAATAAGCTCACATTACACTCTCTTTTAAGAAAGGCAAGGAAGAACTCAGAGAACCATCGGTGTTTCAGTGTCGAATCATGGACCACATCGTCTTGGAATCCATTTCTGAACGTGGAGAACAAAGAAGCAATCAGGAACAGGAGATTTCTATAGCACAGCTTGTGCTAGACCAGCCTGATTGCCTTCTATGACAGAATGACTGGCCGAATGGATGCAGAGCAGTGGATGAAATGTACCTCCATGTTGTCTCCCACAGAATTTGCATTTATAACCAAAGAAGTGCGTGCCGAATGAAGGAGGGAGCATTAGGGGGCCTGAAAACTGGTACCTCTGGGCTCAGTAGATATTTCAGTGTCGGGCAGTGGCTGGCAGTCGTTGGAGTATGCCAAGCTTTGATTTGGGAGCCAGTATTTTTCAGTGTTTTTATTCATGATGGATGAGAACACAAAGTACCAGGCTGCAGGTGGCACTAGCAGGGACATCTAAAATGTTGCACAGCACAACTGATTCAGAGAGAAAGTCTTAAGAACTGAGTCAGTGGAATCCACATCAAGTTCAATAAAGGTAGATTTCTGTACCTGAGGCAGCACAGCACCATAGCTGTACAGGCTGTGAATCAGCTGGAGGAGCTGCAGGTCCTGCTGAAAAGAACATGAAGGCAGGAGTAGGCAATGAATGAAGAATCTGTATGCTTTCCTTCCAAACACGGCAAACCAAACACCTCACCAACTTCAACAAAAAGGTGAGCAGCACATCAAAAGAATAATTATCCTCCTCAGCTTGGGATGCAGTGAAGCTGAACCTGGTCTCCTTGGTACATTTTTGGCTCCATCCATTCATGAGGGACATTGAAATAGGACACAGAGACATGGCAGACATGATCTACAAGGACAGGCTAAAGAAGTAGTGCTTGCTTTGCCTGGAAATCAAAGAGCTGTAGAACCATAGAACCACGGAACCACGGGACCACGGAACCATAGTCATAGAATCATGGAATCATAGTTTGGTTTGAAAGGGAACTCTGGAGATCGTCAACCCCAAACCCTCTGCTAAAGCAGATTTCCTGCAGTAGGTCGAGCAGGAAAGCATCCAGGCGGGTCCTGAATATCTCCAGAGAAGAAGACTCTACAACCTCTCTCTGGGTGGCTTCTTCCAGTGCTGCCACCCTCACAGTAAAGAATCACAGAATCACAGAATCCCAGCATGGCCTGGGCTGCAGAGGAGCACAGCGCTCACCCAGCTCCAAGCCCTGCTGTGTGCAGGTCGCCAACCAGCAGCCCAGGCTGCCCAGAGCCACATCCAGCCTGGCCTCGAATGCCTGCAGGGACGGGGCATAAAGAAATTCTTTTGCATGCTTGTATGGAACTTTCCGTGTTCCAGCTTTCTCTTATTGCCTTCTGCCTGGCTCCATCCGTTTCCCCCTGCACATTTAGGTACATTAGACACTTCCAATAACATTGGTAGGATCACCTCTCAGCCTTCTCCACGCTGAAGAGCTCCAAATCTCCGATCCTTTCCTCATACAGGAGATGCTACAGGTTCTATTAATCTTTTGGCTTTCCACTGGACTCTCTCTAGATGATCCCTGCCTTTTTGGAACTGGACAGCTCAGAACTGGACACAGTATTCCAGGTGTGTCCTCACCAGGGCAGAGTAGAGGAGAAGGACCATCTCCCTCCATCTACTGTCCACGGTCCTTTTAATGCACCCCAAGATACCACTGGCTTTCTTGGCCAGCAGGGCACACTGCTGGCTCGTGACCGGCCTGTTGTTCACCAGGAAACCCTGGTCCTTCTCTCCGGTGTTCCTCTGCAGCAGCTCATCCCCTAACCTGTACTGATGCTGTGGCTGTTCCTCCCCAGGCACAAGAATCTACACTTCCTCTTGTTAAACCTCACCAGGTTCCTCTCCGCTCTGTTCTTCAGTCTGTCCAGGTCTTGCTGAACGGCAGCACAGCCTTCAGGGCTGTCAGCCACTGCTCTCAGTTTTGTACCATCAGCAAACATGCTGAGGGTGGACTCCATCCCTTCAGCCAGGTCAGTGATGAAGATGCTGAACAAGACCAGACCCAGCACCGCCCCGCAGGGAACACTGCTGGTTTCAGGAGAGCAGCCAGACTCTGCGCCGCCAATCCAGCGCTCTGAGCTCTGCTGTCAGCCACTCCTCAATCCGGGTAGGGTAAGGCTTTCTAACTGCACAGTGCTGCTATCTGAAGAGCAGATAAGCACTATGGAGCCAAATGCTTCTTCGTAGTGGCAGACAATAGAACAGGAACAATTTCCACAATTACAGCTCGACTCATTCAGAGTGGACTTCAGGAAACATTCTCCATCAGGAGCGCAGTGCAGCGCTAGGAAAAGCTGCTCGCATGGGCTGAGTTCCTACCTTGCAAGGTTTCAATGCAGACCTGGCCTTGTGTTTTTGATAGCCCTGATTCAAAGGAGAGGTTGGGCTGTGCACGGATGGATGTCCCTTCTAACCATGATGGGATAAGGCTACTATGAAGGTACTAATTTAATTCCATTGCTATTATGCCTATCCATAGTAACACCTTTTTCTTTTATGATGTTTTAGTCAGCATTTATATTCACAAGGCCTCTTTACTTTGTTTCACTGTTGAACCTTATCAGTGTAACCTTTGTTTTCTTTCTTTTTTTTCTGCCTGAGATCTTTACTGTAAAAAGATTAAATAGATGAGCTCCAAAACTGCATCTAGAAAAGACGGCGTTCTCTCAAGCCTACAGCTTCTGATTTACTAATAATCCCTTTTTGTTTCTTAGATAGTTGTCTACTATGCTATTCTGACAAACTTGCTGCATTCTATCACATGCCATTTATTGTCCCATTTCCAAAACCTGTGTTGAAACCCACGCATAAGTCTACAAGTGCAGTCTAGGGGCTGGTGCATGATGCTGCACCAAGTTGGTAGCTACTTAAGCATAGCTGGAAGGCAGCACAGAAGGTGTGCTCTGCATGCACTGTGTTTCCCTAGCTCTACAGGCACATACATCACGCTGCCTCTCACGTCTCTTCTGTCACCACAGTGACCTTGATTCTGGAGTGCCACACATCCATACGCCTGAATTGACTTTGCATGTCCCCACTCTGATCGCCAGCAGGTAGGAAGTGGTCTGGCACTATAGCACATTCCTGCTAGATGGCATTTTGCTTCTGACCTGGATAGGAGCAATGTGGCAGGTAGCCCAGAACTGACTAAATCGCTCAGAGGGTTCCACTCTTGCACGTTGAAGGCTGGCTCAGAAATCCCAAACAGGAAATCTTTCTAGGATGTGCTCAGGCCCTGGTTCCCGGATGTTCACAGCAAGCAAAGGCTTCCTACATTCAGAATGGAGGTTAAAAATAAAAGAATTCAGCACCTGCTCAAAGCGTACACGGCCAGGAGGGGCAGCGGC